CAGAAGACTAAGCAATGGTCACAAAAATGGAACGTGAAGTTATCCTGTGATGTGTCATTGAGGGAGGGTACATGGGGCTGTGAACATAATAGCAACTTCAGCAATTTTCAAGACTCTCCAGGTCTGCCTGTGAATAGTACAAATGGTGGATGCAGGCAAATTCTGCTCACACGCTGTGTCTTTATTTTGTTCACCGCAATAGAAACACTTAATTATGCCCAGTATTACACTAGGCTTAACACCCTTAGGACCTCTCTCAGGATTATCTGATTTCCTAAGGACATGTCTTGCTAACGGATGCACAACATCGATCGAGGTAAAGCCCAGATGCTCACAGACACAGTTTGAAGCTGTGGCAGCTTGGTGCTGAGATGATGAGTTTTAAGTCCCCTGGGGAACTCTCATTAAAGCTCAGTGGCTTAATGTGAACTTTCAAAGGGCAAGAGATACCTGCATTCCTACAGGTGTTATAGTCTGTGTACCTCCTACTGGAATGGAAGGGACAGGGGGACAGGAGTTTTTGCATAGTTTCTTTACGGATAAAACGCAAGTACCTACAAAAAGAGTCTGCCATTTAATGGGAGCTTTATAAACATTTCTGGAACAAAGAAATAATCAGAAGCTATGAAAGTGAATAAAGTTTGCTGGGAACTCTTAGGACATAGAAAAAAACTTTTAATGATTGGTTAAAGGCACAATTATGTTTGCCCTGTGTGTCCTGGCGCTGTTGCTAGCACAGCCATGGCCTTTTTAAGTGGCAAGATTTAGAGCACTTCTATTCTGGGCCCAGCTTCATATTTAACTCGTCAGGAAAATCTGAAGTCGGCTTCTTTCCAGGTTTGTTTTCTGTTCTATAAAATACGGTGTTGAGAAGAAAAGCTTCTCAAGATCGGCTGCATACTTAGTCAAGATTCAAATAGACTTTGCACATGAGCATCGCCTCAGAAACCTCTATAAAATGATGGTGCACCGTCTTCAAATATTCTAATCAATTGGTCTTCATGGGGTTTAAGTATTTCTATATAGCCTGAAGTGAGAGCCACGGACCCAGAGATCACGGTACAGCTCTGCTCAAGAGCAGTCATCCATGGGTGTGTCCAGGTACGTATTTACTGTTAAAGTTGGACGTGGGTCACATGAGGTTGGTAGTATTGAAGTGTGTCTTGTTGCGTGAGTCAACATCAGCAATGCTGCTGCAGACTCTGAAGAGGCTGCACAGACAAGAGTGGCCATAGTTCAGCTCCATGGAGGCTTCTTCCCATTTTTCTGCTGGTTTCGAGTACACTGGATATTGCTTTTCAAGCTTTTAAGGCTGTTAAATAAACCTCACGCCTCACTTGCTGCCCTTCTATGCCTGTCCTTAAAGCTAAGCAGGTTGTTTGCTCATGCTAACACAGGTGAATCTGGGTCACTTTCATGCACACTGAGAAACTGTGTAGGCTCTGTGCAGTAGCCTTTCAAGTTTTATGGTTATCACTGAATCTTGAATCTGAAACTTCGGAATCCTCACATTCTAGCTCCTCAAACTTGTTCTGGAAATAGATCCAAAATAAATTATTTCTGACTGTGTTTTGAAGCCATATTAAAAGAACAGCACCTGGAGCCCTCCCGCACCTTCAGGAGATCAAATTGTGATGGCCACCATCCAGGACCATCTGCTTAATGACACCTCCTTCTTCCTGTTCTCGTAGCTGATAGCAGCCTGCATTTTGGAGAGCAGTGCCACCACCAGAATTGAAAATCCTGGTTAAGTTAGGAAATTGGGAAAGAATAATTTAGTTCAAATAGTGTTTTGGGGGGTTTCCATGATGCCATATTCTCCATTTTTAAAAGATAAATTTCCCAACTGTTTAACATGATGCACACAAAGTTACAGATATCCCCCCGTTAGTTTTTGTGGAACCTCATTGCTCAGTTCTTTTAACAGGTTCAGTGATCATTGTAATTGCAAAACACAGAAATGTGCTGCTTTGTTTTGTAACTTGAGACTTTGAGTCTCAGCAATCAGGAAATTTTTTAGGACTTTGAATGCACAAAGGTAATTTGCCTTATCTCTTAACAATCAACCATGACAGCCTTCCAAGACTGGGGCACAGATGGCCTGTCTCATTCCCAACTCCCTAAGAATTTGTTGTACCCTCTCTATAGATTTCCAGGATCTCACATGACCAGGGAAGTCCCTTTACTGAGCCAAGCCTCCCTTGAGGATAAAAGAACCCAATCTATAAGGGAGTTAGTTCATCGTCCCACCCAAGTGCTATGCAGGTGCTGCTGGAAAACAGGGTGTTGCTCATTTTGTCTGCCTCCTCCCTGGTCAGAGAAGTGCCATTATCCCCCACCACATGTCCCACCACACCTCCCCCCATCCCATACATGCACTAATCCTGCCTCAAGACTATGCCTGACCTTTGGCTTGAACTTGGCAGATATATCCATAAGCACAACAGGAATATATTCTCTCATCATGAACATTTCCTAAATTGGGGGCTGCCTCACTGGCTGAGATAATAGTTGCTGTGCTTTTGCTTTTCTTTGTTTTAGGGATTTTTATCTCTTTTGCTGTCAATCACACGACTTCCTCCTCTGCACTGTCATCAATTTCCCAGGGATTCCACCTCTTAGTGTCCCAACAGGCTTTGTCTCAAGCACTCAGATCTTAATCTGCTGCAACCTACACCCATGTAGCTTTCCAAAATGGCATTCTAAGGTCACCAACTAATCATCCTGCTCTCCCACCTTGTCTGCTCGCTCTAAATTTAGTAGAGTCCTTCTAACCTCAGCTCTTCTTCCGACTTTCTAACTCAACCTTAAGCCTCTAACTGGGTGACCCATAGAACTGGCCACAGTCGAGGCTAGCTCACTGTGCACCAGCCATTCTTTCCCCTTCTTTGCCACAGCATGCTCTGCACAGTTCCTCAAACAAGCAAATTAGACCAGTTGATGTTTTCAGGGAATGAATGCCCTTACTCACTCAGTAGGCCACAGCATCTACATAAAGACCACTCATCTCTACATAGAGGAGGGTAGATGACCAGCTCTGGATCTCCCACCAGATGCCTTTTCACAAGGCGCATTTTCTCAGTCTCCTGGCTGGCTTGCCAATTGTTGGCTGGAACACTTGGGAGCTTCCTGGTGAAACCTGAAACCACCCCCCATACACAGAAGGCACTGAAAGCCTGAAGAAAGAGAAAGACCACTCCAGATCTGTAGGTGGTAGGCTTAATGAGCAAGAGAACTTACATACAAATCTTGTCTTGAGTGACCACAAGAGGAGTAGATATTCACACCTGCCCACCACAATCTTAACATTTTACCTAGAGGCTTTAATGGAGTTCAGTCACATGTTCAATCCAGATGGTCTGAACGATGGCTTCCTATCTCAAGTCTGTGTCCTTGGAGCCTGCAGCATGGAGAAGGTGAGCAGAATACACATCCAAGGACAAGAGAGCGGGTGAGAAGCCTCCAATTGTCCCAAGGTGATTTTTACGTTTTACACTCCCACCAGCAAGAGATGAATGACAAGAAACTCACTCTCTGCATCCACACCAGCTCTTATTCTTCTCACTACTCTTTATCTTACTCATTTTGTCAGGTGTATTGTGAAATGTCGGTGTGGTTTCCAGTTGCATTTTTCTAGTAGACAAGTTGCACTTCTGTAAATCTTCTGGAGTGAAGTTTCAGTTTGCCCATGTTTTTAGTTAAATTATTTCTTTGCCCATGTTTTAGTTAAATTGTTTTTGCTGTTGTTGTTGTTTTTTACAGTTGAGTTTAGAGAGGTTTTAAAAATATATTCTAAATGCCAGGTTTTTGTTGGATATCTGACTGGCAAATATTTGCTTCCAGTGCATAGCTTGTCTTTGAGTTCTCTTAACGGGGTCTCTCTCATAGCAAAAGTTTTAATTCAAAAAATTCAACACAGTTCAGTTTATCCAATTTTTATTTTATAGATTGTGGTTTTGTTGCCAAGTCCAAGAAGTTTGCCTGGCCTCAGATCCCAAAGATTTGCTTCTAAGTTTTGCAGTTTTATATTTGCCATTTCAGTGTGAGACTCATGCAAGTTTCTTTTAAAAAAAACATTTCTTAATTAAAACATTGTTTTTAAGGGTCCAAGTCGACAGCACACTCAACAGTCATTGCTACTATCAACGTCTTTCTTCCTAAAATAACTGTCATTTTTGTTCAGGGAGATACTAAGGCAGGCACCCTGGAGATTTCTGTGACAGCCCTTCTTCCTGGGGCTGGGTGCTGGTTTCTAAAGAATGACCCTTGTCATTGGCTTGGAGGTTTCTGTCTGCACAGGGGCTTTTATAATAAGTGAAGGGTGAGTCCATCACAATTAAGTAGAATGAGTTAAGCGAAGAATTGTGAGAATCAAATGGGTAAAGTCTAAGTAAAGGGAAGTAGTTGGGGGATCAAAGAGTATTGTCACCCAGTAGAAGACAAACAAAAATCAAATCTGGAAGAGGCGGCCACAGTAATGGGAGACCTGTGGGAACAGGCACATTGCCAAGAGAAGAGGTGAGTCTCAGAAAGGAGGTGAACAACTTGAAGGCTCAGGCTGCTGCACCCCAGAGATAAAGGGAAGGGGGGGAGCTCAGGCAGGCAAGGCGGGGAGAGAGAAATTTTGTTGGAGTCGCTTCTGTGGGGCACCGGGAGTGACAGAAGAAGGTCTGAAGGAGCTAGTGGCAACTGAGAGGGGGCTGCCCTGGAGGAAGGCAGAGCAGGCAGAAGGGTCGGCGCTTTGGTCGAGGCTTCGTGTCAGATGATAAGGGGCGACGGTAAGGGACCTTCCAGTGGTAGCAGCGCGCAGTGCGCAACACTCCCCACCAGGGAGGAGCGTGTCTGACAGCCCAGCCGCTGTCCCAGCCTGCGCGCCTCTGTCCTCGCGCGTGTCCGTCCCTGATTCTAGGAGCCCGGTCCTCGCAGCAGACTTCCAGCCCTCTGCCCTCACTTTGCACCTTTCTGCTCTGCACACCCACCGACAATGGATGGCAATTCCCTGCTCTCGGTACCGAGGTAAGCCCCGCTTCCCTCCTTGCCCAACCCAGTGCCCCCAAAACTCCGTTTTTCACACCCAGCGGCTCAGGAACTTGCCCTGGGACTGCGCGGTGCCTCCGAGGAGCAGACAGAGGACTCTGCACTTGCCGTGAAGGCGTCCCCGGCTGGACACGGAGCGCTTGGGAGGTTGTGATCCCTGGTGGAGCCGGAGCGCGGGGCTGGGTGCGGCCTGCCGGGGGAGCGGGGATGGGGGACAGCCCGCCAGCTTCCAGGGCCGGGATCGGGGCTCTGTTCTGCCTCTGGACGCAGGAGACGGAGTGTCTGCAGACACAGCCTAGAGAGGTTTCGCGCCGTAGAGAGGGTGAAAATGGGAGGGAACAGGACTAGGGCAAACTACCCCGCTTCTCCTCCGTCTTGACCAGGGTGAGTGTCAGAGGTTGCTGGGCAGGGAGAGGGTGAGGATGTGAGGAGCGGAGTGGGGAGGAGAGATTGCCCCTAACGCCCGATACAGAGTCGGGTCGGAAAAGACCTCGCCCCGCCCCAGTTCCACCTGCCTCTGCCGCGCCCTCACTCCCTGCCAGACCGCGAGTCCTCCGGAACATCCCCCGCCACCGCGTTCCCTGACTCCATCCAGCCCTGGGGTCCCCACGCTGGGCGTGTCAAGGATGCCCCCTTAGACCCCGCCACGTGGGAGTAACGCGTTTCCCCTGGTTTGCGTCTGACTCTCCCGTCTCCTTCTCTCTCTTTGCCCCTCTTCTGCGTTCCTTCTGACACAGTCTTTGCGAATTTGAGAAACTGAGATTTTTCTATTTTCACCTGCATAAACCTCAGGGGTACACTGAGGTTGCAGCCCTGGTGGTGTTCTGCCTGCTGGGCAGGTGGCTTTTGCGCTGTTTCTCCTCGGAGCTGAGCGTCTACACCGAGAGCAGGCGTGCGGTTGCTGGCAGGGTGGTGGAGGCCCTGTGACCCCCGCAGTCCCACCTCTCCAAGGCAAGGGGCTTAAGGTTCATCGTCTGGTCATCCTTTACTCCCCGCTTTCCCCAAGCAAATATCTAGGCAGCTCCCAGCCGAGAGCATCAGGCACTGGAATGAACATTTTAAACTCTCATTCTTGGAGAGCAGCACACCCCAGCATCCGCAAGCGAAGGCACACATGTAGCTGATACTATGCTGCGAGGAGCCGCTGCGGGGGTGCAAGGGGAATGGGGTGGCAGAGAAGGACAGGAGACTGCTTTTCAAACCCGTTGGAGGCTGCCATCTAGGGACTCGCAGTGCTCATACTCCGTAACGAAACAGCCTTCCCAACTGCACAGGTCCTTACTTCCTCCTTAAGCTTCGTTTGCTGTCTGGGTAGCAAAGGGCCCCTGAGTGCTGTGGTTTCTGGGCTGCACCTGGAGCAGCTCTCCGTTGAAAAACCTCTAATCCTGGGGCCAGTCAAGGTCACGCAATCACTGAGTCTTTCCATTCTGTCCTAGTGTATGAAAGGGACAGTAAAAACCACAGCAAGACTCTTTTAAACTTAAAGAGTATGTATATTGCCACCGATGTTTAGGTGACTGTGTGTGTCACTTTGAAAGTCAAGGAAACCGGGGGCTCCTTTCTACGCCATGTATCCTACTGCCTAATGTCATTAGAATTGAAACGTTGAATGGTGTGGTTCCAGCATCCAGTAGAGACACTTCTGATAAATTGATTGTTTTAAATCTAGTCTTGCAGATCAATAGTACCGTGCCTGATTTAGGATTAATTTCCTTTTTGAAAGCTTAGAGAGCTTTTAAAATGCTAGAAATACATTGTGCCAATGATTTCTCAATATTATTTCTATCGTGGCCTTGTAAAATGACTCTTTAAAGAGCAAGCCAAATGATATTGCTCTATAGTTTTGTAGTAGCCTATTAAAATGGTAATATAGATTTAAAATCAGCTGGAGCCAATTAAACTTCTTGAGTATTACTGTTTATTCACCAAGGCACATTATATGTTTCCACAAATTAGTGTAGTGATTCAGCTATGTTATTAGCATCCTTATTCATATAGAAAATTCAGTTAACTCCACTAGATGAGTTAATCTGATCCTCTATTTCTTTGAATACAAAAACCAGCTTCCTTTCTATAATATGTAATTGGAAGTGATGGATATTGATCTGTAAAAAGTGATCTACAATTTTTTAAATGTTGTGTAGAAATATTATATTAGTTATTCCACTTGTCCACACAACTTTGAAATTTTAGTAACTGATGACTGACTATACAAGTTTTTGAAGAAAATGGCCACAATCAGAAAAAATCAAGTTGTTATCAACTGGGATTTATGTTGTCTAAATATGACCTATTTAAAGCAAGTTCAGACATTCTGTTTAACAGTTGGACCCCCCCCAAAAAAACCAAAAAAACAAAATGATTTAATAATATGTCAAGTTAATTACAGATTATATATTTTTCTTCTTGCTTTTAGATCTTCTTAAATTTTTCAATGAATCAAGAATATGAAGGACTGAAAATATAGTTTTAAATCTTCAGTCATTTGTCAGAGTGAATTTTATTTTTTCAGTGACTAAAAATTTAAACAAGCTCAATTATGCAAAGATTAATCTCAAAATTGTATGTGATTTATATACATTAGAAACTTTAAAGCATGGATTTAAAAAAAATAATTGTTTGTGGGTCTTTGAGTTACTATACTATATTACCTTACCTCTGTGAGAGCTCCAATTAGTTTTTCCTTTGAATATTTTCATTTTTAAGTGCACAATAAGCTTTGTGGTTAACACTCCAGATTTCTTAAAGTAGCTGCTTATGAAAGCTTGACGGTGTCTCCAATAAAGAGGCTGAGCCGGGGAGAGATGAAGTGTCCCTGGGTAAGTTGCATTATAGACCCAGCACTCAAATGTTCTCTGAGCAGTTAGGCAGTTCAAAGGAAAAAACAAGAGGGGTATTTTTTCATTTAGATCTCAAAGTCTAAAGAAGTTTACTTGATTTGCTGCAGTTACAACTAGGAACTATGAAAATAAACAGGAACCCATGAACCCTCGTTCAGTGTGCTATTGTTCTAGCCCTTGGTAGCACCATGCCATCTACCCTCACGGGAGAAAGTTGGTCTCATTCATGTTGGTAACTAGTGTATGTATGAGAAATCTGCCATTTTATCAAGGGTCATCCCATATATTAAATCATTCGATTATCGCATCTTTGTGGTGATGATGATTAATTATAATGGCTATAATCATCTCCACTTCCTAGCTAAAAAAAAAAAATTCAAGCCAAAGGAAATGAAATGAAGAAAATAATTAGATTTTAAAATCTCTACAGTGGTACGTAGCAGAGCTAGATCATCCACAAAGTTCTTCTGGCTTCAGGTTGAGTTTTCTTTCTTGTAATGAATGAAAAAACCTATGTTATTTCAAATGAGGGAAAAGAAATTCTGGTGCACAGTTTGCAAACCCTGACTTAATCAGAATGCCTGGGGACAGCCTAAATGCAAGATCGTTTTTTTTAAAGCTAACAAGTGGTGAAATACCGCGTTTTTGTTTTTGGGTTTTTTTTTTCAAACAAATAATTTGTTGCCTGAACCATTTCTAAGCTTGAATTTGAAATTTAAAAAAGATGACTTCTCTTATTTCCTAAATCATTTGCATCTTTATACTGTACTATTTTGTTCTTTTTGTTTCATTCGGCATACTGGATTTTATTTCATTAATAAGGTTTTTGTATGGAATTTTGAATTAGAAAATTATCAGAGATGAGATTTAGAGAAAATACTGTATTTATTTATTTAGATTTCCTGACAGTTAATTTTACTCAAATCTTAGTTTACCTAGTAACATGTCACTAAGCCCACCAGAATCTCAAGGTTTCATCTTTAAAAGTGTTAATTCTATGGAAAACCAACTTGATTTGGTTTAATGGAGCAAACAACATAATTCTGTAAACTAGACTAAGGTCTTCCAACTGAATTTTATCAAAAAGTTATCTCTCTTCAAATTCATAGAAAAAGAAAAATTCAAGAACACATTTACATTGCCGTGACCTGTTTATCAAAAACTCTCAGAAAAAGATTACTCTGGCATTCCTAACGAACTGAGGATCAGAGGCAGATATTGGGCCCTGTCTGAAGTGTAAACTTAGGGTCATCCTCTATTCTGCAAAGCATGGTCTGCCCAAGACCAGGACTGACGTGGCCACACCCCCCATTCTGTAAGTCTCAGTGAAACACTGCCCAACAGGTGCTATTTCCCATTGAAAAGAAAACCGGGCATTAGTAAATCCCAGTGCCTAGGACGTTGAGATAACACATTACTGCAGGCTAATGGGTAGCTGGATAAGAGATGGAAACTCTGAAGGCAATGCTCATAGAAATAACACCTTCCTATCTTGAAAGTCTTGAAGCCCACCCTTGATGCTGTGCTTCACCTACTGATACTTTTAGGGACCCTTGATCTCCATCCACATGGTTCCTTTAGTAAAATATGTGTCTGATACCAAGTAATCAATTTGTAAATTAAGTATTAAAAGTCAATTCATTCATCCTGAAGAAGCCACTTTGGACTATTCATTTTAATGGAGTTAGAGCTACAAAGGCTTGTAGGGAGGGGAAGAAGATAGAGTGAGGTATTTGCTGTTGGAAGACCTGATGTTTAACCCTGTTCTGAAATTAATGTCTGTGACTGCCTGGGCAGGTGGTCTGACCTGTGTTCCTCTGTCTCCTCCTGGATATAGTGATATATACATTGCATATACTGATCTTCTAGGTCCCTTTACCTCCAACCTTCTATAATGCCACAGCCTTTATTGTAGCATTGATTCTCAGCTGGGCACAAAGAGATGACCGTCTCATTCTCTTGAAAGAGACAGGTGAAATCAGGGCACTTACTCAAGGCACCTACCACTGAAAAAAAAAAGCCCAACTTAGAAAAGGTTCGATTCATTGTTAATGTCCCCGCATAGGTAGAGCACATGCTTACAGGAGGTGTAATAAAGTCTCACTCTTTTGTAAAGAATACAACACAGTGATAAAGTCC